CTCCCTGTTACATTTAGGATCAGATTCAAAATCTTAACTATCACCTACAGTGCACTTCATGGTCAGGCCCCTGCTTATATTGCTGAGCTACTCCACCCCCACCGGTCAGCTCGTCCCCTCAGGTCAAACATGCTTAATCTCTTATCTGTCCCTCGGACCCACCTCAAAACACGAGGTGATCGAGCTTTTGCAGCGGTGGCGCCCAGGTGCTGGAATGCTTTGCCAGCGCCTATACGCTCTGCTGAGTCTCTTGCATCATTTAAAGGCCAGCTAAAGACACACCTATTTAGACAGGCGTTTAGGTAATTTTGTATTCTCTTGCCCTGTACTGGTGTTATTTAATTTCTTTTCTAGGCTCTTATGCTGTGTACTGTGCTTTTATCTATGTTTTGTGCAGTTTTTGCAATTTTTGTCTGTATTTTATTAATGTTAAAGCACTTTGTGACTTTTGTCTGGGAAAAGCGCTTTATAAATAAATTTTACTTACTTACTCACTTACTTTCCTGGATATTCCAAACGATGCTGATGTTGTACAGTTTGGGTGTATATTCTGAGAACATCTGTCATTCAGCAGAGGAAGTAATGTCGTAAACATTGTTTTATAATGCCAACTGTACAATAACAATGATCACAGCGTCAGGATCATGGTCAACGCCCATCTCTGCTCCTCCTTCCTTCCTCTCTGAGCTGCTGCTCAATCAGCAGCACCTGAGCAGAGGCTGACTCACCTGCCACCAGTTACCGCCCACTAAATAAAGCTTACCAGCTCTGATGTAGTATATAGCTCTGAACTAGTCCTAGCCTAGCCTTTTGTTTGGTTCGCTTGTCTGTTAGCCCTTCTGACTCTAAGCACCGGTCAGTTTGGTTTTTCTGTTTGGTCCCTGTATGTAGATGTTCATCTGGTTATTTCACAGCTTATGAATAAACAGCTTCTGCGTCAAGTCTCTGATCGCCTCGTCGACATTGCCGTCAGCGCCTGGGTCCTCCCTTTGGATTTGAACATGGACGTAACTGCTTCTGTTAGCCCTGAAAGCTGACATCAGTCACCATGAAGTATTGCTACCGACGTTCCCAACACAGTGTTTCTGTGTGACTGACGCTTTGCTAACAAAGTCAGAATGAAATGAAACAGATCTTGACAAAGAAATCCAAAACAAGTACAAATCTATAAGTGTGACATGTACACGTGATTCTTATGATAGCACTTCTCATAAAACAATTTGAAGAACTATGAGCTGGAAAACAATGACTTCACTTTTAGCCCAGTAACGATGTTATACAACTCTCCCAGTTGGGACGCTACTGGACTGGTGTCACCTATCAGACCTGCTCAGCGTTTGTCCTCAAATCAGCCAGAAATGCAGCTCATGTGATTTTAATCAGCTTTGCTCTACATTTTTCTTTACATCACGGGAAACAAACCAAAAACAAAACCAGCCTCTTGGGGTGCAAAATGAAGGTTTCATGGTTGGTGGAATATCAGAGTCGACAGAAACACGGACATGTTTGGACCTCATGTTACTGGTTTATATTATTCTGTCACAGCAGGGCTGCACCTCTGAAGACCTCGTGTACATGTCAACGAGCCGGCAACGTCTCAGGACGGTAACTGCATCATTACAATACCTGTAGCCAAACATTCTACACTCTATTCACTAGAAACAGAAAAAATGTGAAAAACATGGTCTGGCGTAAACTGACCCACTTGCACTGAAGCAGCTTTTTAACCATACAGATATTTTTGGAAATCAAATGCAGTTTCATGCGGGTACAGAACCTGGACGCTCTAAATCACTTGAAAAATGAATCACTGGATGCTTTTATTTTGGAAAACAGGAATAATGTACATAACATGAGGCCTATAAAGCTAAATAACAGCCATTTTTCAAGATACAGAGCAACAGTTGTTTTTCTCTTACCTTAAAAGAAAGTTCTTGCATGCTGCCGCCTGTATCCTGGTTCAGTCAGTTCAGACGTCCAACTGCAGCCTGAGACTCTCTGTGAGACACGAACTACTGCTGCTTCCCTAAAGTCCTTTTAACAGGAGTAGAAGTAGCTTCGTGATCGCCTTAAAAGAAAGGAATCCTCCTCCCACCCCAGGTAGGTATGCAGTGTCTGACAGAGCGGCGCTGCAACGTAGGGGTGTAGCTGAAGCACATAAAGGACGATAGAGGGATGCAGTTCCTCTTAAGCGTTGATAAGATGCACTTTCATAGTTTGCATATGAAAATTGCTCAAAGGAAATGTGACCTTTGATTGTCTGTAAAGCGTGTCTGCATCTAAATCAAGACGCAACATTTACGGTTATTTTACAACTTTTAATTTCACTTATAGCAAAGCTATTCATAAAAACCAAAACGAGCCAGGTGAGCTCCAGCAGACCCAGGAAGCCACAGGTCATACGCTGTTCCATCATGCAGTCGTTGCTCAGCGTCTCACCGCAATGGGACTCATGAGCAAAGATGAAAACGACGGAAGGATGAAAGGTGTTCATGTTGACATACGGATTAAAATAAAGAATAAAGAATCAGTTGTTCACATCAGAATGATTTAAATTAATCCATACAGACAGAAAACAACTACTGTTTTTTAACTTGAAGGTTCATATAAAGCATGAACAGTGTATACCTTTACAATGTGCCGTGTTTCAGCCTGCAGCAGTACTTTGTATTATGAAACATGTACAGCATTGCTGCTTTTTGTAGTGAAACACAAGGACAGTACAGCAGCACTATCAGAAAGGACGAGATCTGCTGGAGAGTTTACCTTCAAGAATCGAAAATAGGATGAAAAATATGACAATATTTAAAAATATGTTTCCTCAGTTACAGCTGAAACCAGAAGTTTACGTCCACTGTAGAGAAAGACATCAAACCTTTTCTTTTTCTCTCGCTGTCTGACATGAAATCAGACTCAACGTTTCCTGTTTCAGCTCAGTCAGGATCACCAACATTAGTTCTATTTGCTAAACACCAGAATCATGAGAGAGAGAATGTTTTACTACTTTCTTCAAAGTCAGAAGTTTACATCCACTAAGATCCTTCAGACTATCTGAGAAAGCCCAGATGATGATGTCATGGCTTTGGAAGCTTCTGATTGGTTAATTAGCAATCAGCAATTTCCCTGAGGTTTCCACCAAAGGGATCAATAAAGTTCTATTCTATTCTAANTACTGGAGCGGTTGGTACTGGAGCGGTTGGTACTGGAGTGGTTGGTACTGGAGTGGTTGGTGCTGCAGTGGTTGGTACTGGAGCGGTTGGTACTGCAGTGGTTGGTACTGGAGTGGTTGGTACTGGAGTGGTTGGTACTGCAGTGGTTGGTACTGCAGTGGTTGGTACTGGAGTGGTTGGTACTGGAGTGGTTGGTACTGCAGTGGTTGGTACTGGAGTGGTTGGTACTGCAGTGGTTGGTACTGCAGTGGTTGGTACTGCAGTGGTTGTGGGTAAACGGAAAGTCGAAGTCACATTCTCCCAGAAATCTGTGAAAGACTGAACAAACGTGGCTCTGAAACATATGAAACATAGAAGACATCCACGTAAATCCTTTGGCTTCTGCATTCACATCAAAAAAAGCAACACATTCACAGCAGGTCAGGTTTGTTCTTGCATTTGGGCGTCAGTCAAAGTATACAAACACTGTAACAGTCACCTGAAGATGACATCTTGATCTATTTCTGGTGCGGTCCAGTTCACTCGGACCAAATCCTTCTCTCGATTGTTGCGTTGGCTAACAGCTGAGTCCTGAGAAGAGCGACAAAAGTCGAGCAAACATCACGGCCATGACAAAGTGACTGTATTGATTCTGTGAGGACGACGCTGGATGATGACTTACTGCTAAACCGCTGCACGTCAGGAGTCGGGTATTGTCAGAATCAAGCAGGAGGAATTTTCCAACCCGTGAGCCGCTGCCTGCGTCTCGAGCCTCCAACATAAATCCTCGAAATCTTGTGGATGTGCTACTGAGGACAACTGGAGAATAGTTTGAGGATTCGACAGAGCGAAGGTTTGGGAACAAATAATGAAGAAAAATGCTAATGTTCATGTGAACAGACACGATGTGACCAACAAGCCTCCAGAAAAAGTCTCTGTACCTGTAATGGGATCTCCAGATCTGCTGTTCTGTTCATGTTCCACCATAAAGGGGGGTGCAGTGGTCTTAGCGAGGAAAGGGCTCCCATCAGGCTGCAGATGCTGAGGTGATAGTGAATCACATGACTGTGGGAAGTTACCATTTGAAAAGCCGTGCACCTTTGTGATGATGTCGAGGCCGATTAAAATCCACAACCTCATCTGTAAAACAAGCATGATGCTGACAGCTAGAGATGCACTGTGGAGGTATCTGTTCACTTTCCTACAGCAAGTGTTCTCATGCATTTTAAAGTAACTTTGACTTAAACCAAAGTGAACTCTCTGCACATCTACTACAAGAGGCAGGTGAGGGACGAGCACATCCAACAGGTACAAAACAGATTCCTGCTCGCTGTCTAACTCGAGTCATAAACGTATTAGAGCAACGTTTCGGTCCGAGGCCTTCATCAGGCAAATAGATTGGTGTAAAGTCAGAAGTCATCTTAAAAAGGGAGCAGCTCTGACTCCACCACAACTGAACAAACTCCACATACACCTGGCAGGTATGAAACACCAAGAAAAAACAAAAAAGAAAAAGAAGAGAGAAGAAGGATTCTTTACATAATACCTAGAGACATCTAGAGACAAGACGATCAGCAGGAACACAGGAGAAACATTGCCACAACGTATTTACACAAAGTGGGTAAAATCCCTCAGAAGCAATCTGACTAACAGGTACTTTTGTAAATTAGCCTGGAAATTAAAAATGATATTGACAATAATAATCGCAGGGGGGCGGAGNAACATGATGTGAAGATACTGAAGCAACATCTCCAGACATCAGCAGGAAGTTACAGCTTGGACACTAATGGGTCTTCAGATGGACAATGACCCTCAGCATAGCTCCAGATTAGCTACAGAGAGGCTTCAGGACAACAGAGTCAGTGTTGTGGAGTGGCCATCACAAAGCCCTGATCTCCATCCTGGAGAACATCAGTGGAGCAAGGAGACCAACAAACCTGACCCAGTTCGCCACCAGATACTGAGGAGATGGATGGAAACGCCTGACTTAGACGGAAGTCATAAAACATTCTCTCTCTCATTATTCTGACATTTAGCAAATAGAAACAATGCTGGTGATCCTGACTGAGCTGAAACAGGAGCAGTTCAGTCACATTTAATGTCAGACGGAGAGAAAAACAAAGGTTATGTGTCTTCTTATACAGTGGATGTAAAGTTCTGGTTTCAGCCGTGTATTTGCAGAACCATGCTGAAACTCCAGGAGTCCGTTCTGTTACGTTAGGATATCCAGCAATGTTTTTGTTTTGCGGTACAACTTGTCAGACCTGCTCAGTTAGCTGTGGAAGTTCAGTGGAAAGTTTTTTTTTTCTGCAGGCCTTCGTTGTCATGCCCTCCACCTCCACCTCTGCGTAGGTGTCAGGGCTCCCTCTTCCTCCTTTTCCTTCATGTGTGTGTGGCCTTCCTGTTGGATAATCAGCTGACTGGGGACACCTGTGGCGGGGGTGGATCACCTGCCTCGCACAGCAAGCCGTCACCACACACCTGCCCTGTCTGGGTTCTGCTTTACCTCTGACCATCCACCCCGGGTCTGTGCTCCTGTCATCCCTGCCTGAAGACGCAGTGAAGTCCTGCTGCACTTCATTTTGTGGTACACAGGCTGATATATTCCCCTGGACTTGCTGGGTAGCTGGTTAAATGTATTTGCTTGCATTGTGTGTCACATTGTGTGCATTTTGTGCCCCAGTGTTTAAGCAGAGTGTGTCTGCAGACCTGAAGGCTGCACTTCCAGGACCTGAGGTGTGTCAGAGGAGGCAAGAACATTTCTCACGTTGATGGTTGTCGGTCACAGCCTAAGCACTGACTAGTTTAATTTAACGTGAAACATTTGCTTTCGAGTGTTATTGTGTTAAATAAACATCTACCTCCATAGCTGTCCTCGTGTTCTGCCTCTTTCCAACCTTTCAAACCGCCCTGTTTGACATCTAGCGACTGCAAAGGCCACAGAATACGTACAAAGCCCGGTGATGTTGACAACACGATTTCTTAAAACCAAGTTACTGTCGTGTTAAAATGTATTCTGTATGTCTGCATTAAAATCCTCCTCCTCGTGGAGACTGTTTGTTCCATTAAACATTTTGATTGTTCTGCATTTGGCTCTCTGACTTTCTGACTTTCATATTAAAGTATTTTGCTTTGTGTTTCTGTGACATGCAGCTACAAAAGGTTCAGAAAATATCACTAGTTGACTTCTGTATTTTCTACATACATATTTTTTTCACGTCATGATTTTTTTTCATACTTCAACTCATCTATAATCAGACACATTTAATGTACGTGTTTAATATTGCAGAATATGATTTATAAATGATTAATGTCATGATAAGAAATAACTTGAAATGTCAGGCTTTTTTCTTGAAAAGCTTATGAGCTGTTGTTCAAACAGCTTCACATTTCAATGTCCAAATAAACCTGCAGAAAGTGGGCCAACGGTTAATTATCATGTTCTGTTTTTTGCTTGGTTTGTACTTGACATATTGAGCTAAAACTCCACAAATATCTTTACCAAACATTCTTATTTTGTGCTATTAAAATTGTCAGGCAAATCTGAGACGGTTGAGCAGAAATTGTTGTAAAGTGTTGATGATCTGAGGCTGGAATGAGCCACTGGTTCAGTCCAGGGAGGCTTCACAGGACAGGAGGTAGTCATTTGGGTTTTTGTTGTTGTCATTGAGCTGTTTCTAGATCTCATTATCCTGCATTACAAAAAAACCACACAATTAAAAACTGTTATTTATTTAAACACTTCACTCTTAGTTCATAGATTTCCTCTGTTGTTGTTTTTTTATTATAAATAATATTAACACACAAAAAAATAATCACAGAAAGAAGGTTTTCATTTAAATGTTATTCCTAAAAAAAACAAACAAATCCCCCCCAAGAAAAGTGTCTCAGTGGTTAGCACCGTTAGCACCGTTAGCACCTCACAGCTAGAAGGTCGCCGGTTGGCGTCCCGGTGAGGACACCCGGGATCTTCCTGCGTGGAGTCTCCATGTTCTCCCCGTGCAGCGTGGGTTCTCTCCGGGTTCTCCGGCTTCCTCCCACAGTCCAGAAACATGCTGAGGTTAATTGGTGATTGTAAATTGTCCGTAGGTGTGAATGTGAGTGTGCTTGGTTGTCTGTCTCTAAGTGTAGCCCTGTGATAGACTGGTTACCTGTCCAGGTGAACCTGCCTTCACCCTGAGTCAGCTGGGATAGGCTCCTCCCTCCATGACCCTGGTGAGGGTTAAGGTGTAGAGATGATGGACGGATGCTTTTCAAGACATTCAAAGACGCTTTACAAAGTACAAATCATGACAATGTTTTTTGTGTTTTTGCTTTTGGCTTTTTGAAACAAGGAAGTTCGTGCTGTGCATGTCAGAGTGATATCAATCATTAGCTACGCAGCTCCTGAGAAGAATGCCTGAATCACTTCTTAAGAAATCTGGCTATTTATAGATCAGTATCAGGTACCAGCGGTTTAAAGATCAACCTCGTGCTTTCAGACACGTACTGCTTATCGTCCTTACATGACATGAATCTCAGTCAAAACATCTAAATCTGACTAAAATACTTTCCTGCTCTTTTGTTATTTGGCAGGTATGAAAGTCAAAGAAACTGCCACAGCGTCATCAGGACTGTGGAAAGAAACAAGGAGCAGCAAGTACAGGTGTTAGCTAAGGCTGTGGTTAGTCCTCAGGTAGCTCATGGATGTAGATAAAGGTTTCTGAAAACAAAGAATGTATTCTTTATTCTTCCCCGATAAGCACAACAACATGAAGACGGCAGAGCTCTGAATGAGTGTTTACATAGAAAACAACAATGCAGTTAATTATTCACACAAGTATGAAATGATTTGAACACAGAGCTGCTGTGCTGGGAACTGCAGGGACTGTAACAGGCTGAGGCATGAGATCAGATGACTGGCTGTGATCCATTTACAACATGTTTGTCGTTTCACTTCACTGACTTTCACAAGAAGGGAAATTTCCACCATGAGCAAGTCTTCTATGCTATCTAGGTTCACAAATACTTGAATATAAGAGGTGCAGCAGGTTTGTTTTTTTAAATTTGAGGACGATCACACCCTTTAAACACTGCTGGTCTAGTTCCTCATACTTCCCTGGAAGATGACAAAGCAGTCTTGTGAAATGCTACCATGGAATCGGTCTGCTGTTGTCTATTGTAATGGCATGAAGCAAAATAAGTTCCATGGGTTCCACTAGAAGTTCCACTAGAAGTTCCACTAGAAGTTCCACTAGAAGATTCTAGAGTTCACAGCAAGCGAGGCGACACAGTATCATCAGACGTCGCTCACAGACAACTTAAAAACGTGAAACACAGATAAAATATGTAAAACTGTACATCATGTGCATAGTACATCTTCACAAGCTTGTATTGGTGAACAAACCTAGTTTTTCTGGCACCCAACTACGCCGATAAACACAGCTACGGCAAGAGACGTGGTTCCAAGGATGAAGAGAAGCGAGACAGCGATGAGGATCCCTCGAGCTGCGCTGGGATTCCTCTGAAAGTCGGAGGTGAAGGGGTGAAAAACTGGCGTAAACTCACATCCCTGCTGCATGATTTGTTTGGAGCTAAACAGCAACGCAAAATGTCGATAAAATATCTGATACTGTGATGATGTGTGCAGGTTCTCACCGTACGCTGTTGTTGGTTGCATCTGCCACGACTATTTAAAGGCTCTGTAGAAGAAAATTACAAATATGACTTAGATCTTCCAAAGAGTCAGCGATGCATGGCATCATGTTCAGTCAGCGCACCGCTACATGGAAGTCACCTTGCTCAGTTGCTCCTCGTATGGCTTTTTTCTGGGCGCTGAACACCAAAGTCCAAACCACAGTCAAGAAAATCCATGCGGTGAGCGCCATCAACCCTTTCAGAGCATAAGACTCGCTCCAGGTCCTTCCACAGCAAGCCGAAACCCCAACGTACAGGACGGCAGCTGGGTTTGAAACAAAACGATGACAAATCAGAACAACCAACAGGCCGGTGCAACTCTCTGAAGCATTAGTGCAAGCTGATGGAGCTGATGGAGCTGATGGAGCTGATGGAGCTGATGGAGCTGATGAAGCTGATGGAGCTGATGGACAGAGTGTGCAAAGCTGTCATCAAAGCAAAGGGGATAGATAGATAGATAGATA